AACCCTCCAGAGAGGAAGGATGATTGTGACATAGCAGATGGTCATTATGCAGGGCTCTGCAGCCATGAAGACCAACCTGTAGTGCTGTCACGGGTCTTTCATACAGGTGGCCACGGTGGCCAGCAGATTTCAGAAGATCCTTGGTTTTCAGGGGAAGGTAAAGATGGCCCTTTGGAGGGAAGTCAGGAGAGAATGCCATAGGCCTGATTTTTCATTGCCCTATGGCATGCCTGTACCATTCCAGCAATGAAGAGAGGTTGTAAAGGGAGTGGATCTATCCATCAGAGAATAACCCTAACCCAGGAACTAGTTGGCTCTTCATTGTGCACCAGCAGCATCCCTAATGTACAGGGCATACCAAGGATAAGTGTGTGGCCAGACTACAGGTCTGTCGCATCTTAGGCGCATTTAACATGCGCGATTTCAGCTTTACACGGTTGGCAAAAAACAACAGCAAAAGAGAAAAATAACAATTTAAATACTGTTTCTGTAGTGCTGGCGATTCCGCCTGCCATTACATTCAATGTAATTTTGACTATACGCGATTTCCGCTTTAGGCGCTGACTGCAGAACCCCAGCGTAAGATGAGACAGACCTGTACTGTGTCTTCTAGAATGATCACAGAGGCCACAGGCAGCTGAGAATTTTAGAGCTGCCTTGAAGTTGCTCTTACACTAGGGCAGGCCCTTATATGGCGCAGGATATGGGGAGGCACAAGGGTACTCTGTACAGAGCATAGCTTTGCTGGAATGGAGAACTGGGGACTGAACCTGTAAACTCAGAATACACTCATACCCATTTTGGGTGTGATTCAGTCAACAGTGAAGATATTCAGTAGCCCAACACAGAACAAGTTGTTTTTATTTTAAGTAGGCAAGTTACAGTGACACTTTCTTTACATGGTTAAAAATCACATTCACAGCTCTAGAGAGAGCTCATAAAGAAAGTTCCCTACTAATTAGCTTCAATATGCCAATGATCTTCAAAGCCTAATTCAGCTATGAAAAATATGTCTGGTTTACATACTTTGGAAGTCTTCATCCATCCCAGGCTCCCGCCCCCCCACCCGCAAATCCAGTGCTTAGTAAAACTGGTTGTTGTTGTTGATTTCTACTTTGGAAAGCTCTGGGAAGACCCACATTAAAAACAACCAACCCTCAGTTCTGACTGAAAAATCATATATAGTTGGATATACACACCCCCATTGTACTTTTTAGAGTGATCACACATTAGAGGATTTTAAAAAAACCCAAACTCTCTACTGTATAGAATACAACTTCACTTGCAGATTGACTGCTGTGATTTATATCAGTTCCAACAACCTCAGCTTTCTGGTACAACCAGCAGCAGCAGACAGTCTCCTCAGGTGTATTAACTGGAATGTAAGATACACTTGGTAGTAATATGTAAGCCAGCGAGCATATGCAGAAGGAAATAACGTCATGAATTGGCAAGGCAGCAACTACGTTCACCAGTTTAAACAAGATTCAGTTACTGAAGATCTACAACTGAAAACCAAACCACAAAATTTTCAACTGAAATGTTATTTCCACCTTTACGTAAAGATGTGAAAGCTGGAAATCCACCAAAGGTCCAGATATCTAAATGCCTCTGAAAGCAAATGCCTCAGGAAAATATGAGGCATTAGAATTTATAACAAGCGCCAAGATTTGTCAGAGTTCAGCAACCCCTTATCTTCAAAGTTATCCAGCAAAGAAGGAATATCTGGGACATGTGTTAGGAATGAAGCCAGAACATCTGCCACGGCAGGCATGCCGCTAGGCAGCTGGAGGGACACGTAAAAGGGCCGATACCAAGAATCCATCTGTTGAACAGTACTTAGAGAGGGAAAGTTTATGTCACTGAACAACAAAGAGGACATGCAACGAACAGCCCAGGACAGACAGGGATGGCAGGGCCTTGTTTGTGCCCTAAGCGACCTTTGACAGAATGGGAAGGATTCAGATTCAGAAGACACACTAATAAGCCTAGAATACTGAACAGCCTCCTATGGTTCTCACATATGAATCAATTGTTAAGAACCTAAAAGGTTCTAGGTAGTATGGTCCAGTGATTAGGGCACTAGCCTAGAAATCAGGAGACCCAAGTTCAATTCACTGCTCCACCACAGACTTCCTGTGTGACCTTGGGAAAGTAATTTACACCCAAGTTTTTATAAAGGTACTTGGGCACTGCTCTGCATTACAAGACCCAAGCTATCTAGGCACTGTACAAACAGATATAGGCGATAGTCTGTCCTTAATAATTTACAGTCTAAAATTATCCATTTAGAAGTGGATGAATCGAGGCACAGACATTACGTGACCTTGGGCAAATCAGTGTCAGAGCCAGATTAGAATTTGCTAGCTCTCATTCCTATCTTCAGACCACTAGACTCTCTCTCTCTCTCTTTAACATGTTAGTTTCCCTAATGGACGGGGGGAAATAAGAATGCTGGACAGAACCCAGCATATTAATTATGGACCCAGACAAGAAACTAACCCATAGTATTTCAACCTAGCTTGAAATCTTAGTTACTGAGGTAAATTACCTTAATAGAATACTTTCTAAGGATCTAATCCAGTACCCGCAGAAGCTTTTTCATTCACTTTAATGGGAGTTGAGTGACCCTCTATGTACATTTTTCTGCATTTGCTTTTAACTTTTGGCTGATGCTCATTTGGATGAAATTTAAATTATTAGTTTTTAATTCTTTCCCATATTTACAAAGAGCTAGTCACTAGTGTAGAACATTGTCACACGATAACAGTCTCCAGCTGCTAGCTAAATGCCAAAGCCAGTACTAAGCAATGACACAAAGCAAACAAAAGGTAAAACAGGATGTTTATTTGAAAAGCTGAAAATATCCCATTTGGGTCAGTATTCCAGGGTAATGATATTATTTCTATTATTCTAAAGCGAGGCCCAAGTCTTGAAAGCACTTTATTTATGAGCTTGAAATTAAGCATAAATGTTTTCAGGAACAGGCCTAAGTAAATAAAGTGCAACAGGCAGTTGCAAGTTGGTACAATGGAGTCACATCAACTTATTCCATGCATATTGGCCACAAACAAGGTTTACATAAGACTATAAGTTAAAATAATGCCTTCACTTGGATGATCATACTCTTAACTGACTCAAATATTATGCTGTAGAAGTCAGTCATTAAGGTTCAGACAGCTGTTAATGCAATGGTGTTTAATTTATCCTAACTAACTGATATTACTAGACAACCAGGCAGCATTCTTTGGATAACTACTGTTGTTTTCTAGCTTTTAGCTATTTAAAATTATTCCTAGCATTATGTGAAGGGTGGCTTTACTTATCACTGGAGACACTGGCTCCAATTATCCTCTCCCTTGCACTTTATGAAGTTATTTACACCTGTGCAAACAGCAGCATTATATACCCACTGTGCACAGGTATAAATGACAACACAAGGTACAAGGCCATGGGGATAGAGGTTCCTAATCTTTTGCTTTGACCAAGTTCTTTGCTAGCCAACTGATATTTGACTCTTAAAATATGAATAGCCAGATTGCAGCCCATCTAATGCTTGTGCACAGGGGAGTAAGAAGGAACAGGTCTCCCTATTATCCCCTGCATCAGTGTGGGTAGCCAGCACAGGAGGAATAGCAGCCTCCACAAGACTGCTACTTCCCCACTGCTGCAGGTGGGTGAGGAGTGGGCAGAACCTTGGCTCTACCCCTAGCTATGCACTGGCCAAAGCAGTTGTAATTGTGTGTTGATTAATCTGCACCAGGTATTGCGCTGGCACAATCACTCCCCACCTGGGCAAGGGGAAGTCATCATCTGCTTCCTGGTGTGCTCTGATAGTACATTTTTGCATTGTCCCAAGAGTATTTCTTGAAGGAACTTTAGCCCCTAGCAACCTGTCCACATCATACAGCAACATTAAAGCCTACTTCTAGAAATAAGAACATATACGGTTAAGAGAGCCGAAGAATCACAGGCGTGGAAATAAGGAAAAGTAAATGAGATGACCTTCCTCTCACTTCATTTTATAGTTTTGAGACATGTTCTGGTTCTGTAAACCAACAGTTTTCTATGACTACCTAGAAAAAAAAATGGACTACAACTGAGTCAAATGGTTGATTAAGAAGAGCAGAGAACTATATAGAAATTAAATAATCACAAAGATATGAGACCCAAAAGTCTACCAAGAAGTTATTGAATAGATTAAAAGTTCACTACCTCCTCCCCAAAAAGTCACTTTGTCATTTAAACAAAGTTTGCTCTACATAGCAATTACTGTTAAAATCACAGTGTGTGCTTCTTTCAGATGTCTGCCACAAACAGATATAGTTTGGCCACTAAACATGTTATGGTTTTCTGTTCTGGAACACAAGCTCTCATGTATCCAGCCACGTACAATGCATGATATGGAGCTGTTTCCTTGTGAAACCCTTTAACACTTTTGCTACTTTTCATAAATCACTTGGTTAGGCAAGAGAATTGGCCCTAGTGAAAGATCTATAAAACTGTAAAGGTCTGACCCTATCCTTTGAACAAGTTTCAAAGACAAAAGCATAACATATGTCAAATCTGTTTGCAATGTTCTCCTCTTCTAAAAATCCCCTTCTCATCTTAAACTGAAATGAGAAAGGTAAAAGCCATATTACGAAGATTAAATATGTTGTCAGAACATGACACTTGGTCCTCTTTTAAATGTTAAAAACCTCAAGTAAGTTCTAATGAAAATCATCACTGAGTTACAGTACTTAGCGGTTTGTTACAATAGTTAAAATAGAACATGCCTGTTCTGACTGAACTTGCTCCCAGTCTACCTGTAAAAGCAGCTATTGTCGCAACACAGCTACCCCCTATGTTAAGGAACACCTAGTTAATTTGAATTCATAGTTATCATAGCATATGAGGTGCAAGTTTTTAGGACAAAGTTCAACACATTTTAAATATATATATACTATAGGAAAATTAAGTAAAGTAATTATATTAGGTATAATAGCAAAGCAGCTTACCAGCCCATCACAGTTGCTTATAGCAACTGAAGCGTTAGGCAAATCAGTGATATCCCCAACATATAGGCAATTCCCATGGAGTGGTTCAATATGAGTCACATTAGAATCCTCTTGCCATTCAATTGTTGCTCCAGGGGCAACCAGCCTAGAGTTCAGTCTCAGCCTGAAGTGAAACTCTCTTCCAAAAACAGTGACATTATAAAATATTTGCTCATTTGAAGCTTCATGTTGCATATCCCCAGCATCTCTTCGGAAGCGCCCCCTTGGAGGTCCAGACACCAGGTTAGATAGGAACCTGCCCTCTGAATCGGTGCTGATTGGGACGACAAGTCTGTATTCCTCTATATTCCTCAAAATAGGATCTTTAAAGATAAAAAAAAGTATTAAAACTAAAAATTAGTTTAGAATTATTAGTCCACGATCCATTACCCCATCAGAGAATTACATAAGGGAGATGGCCACTGCATTCTCCACAGCCACTTCATTCATGAGTGTGACTAAACATACTGTAAAAAGAACAGGAGTACTT